CTTTTCCTTTTTCTTTTTTGAGTCAATTAAATGCGGGTACATGAGAAGAGTTGTTGGTGACATGCATGCAAATGTATCAGAAGGTGCATGCATAATTAAAACCAAACAATGGGGGGCTACCCTCAACTTGGAAACTCGGAAATATGTCAAATTAATCTCGCAACTGTTATAAAAATAATCAGAGTATGAAAAGTACCATTGAATATTGGGAGTGGAATTGTATTTGTTCTTTTGGTTTTTACACTGATAGAATTTCCTCTCAGATAGAACTTTCTAACTCTCAAATTTTATCTAAATCTAAATCTAAATCTAAATCCTGATGAAAAGTTACAAACAAAAATAATTTGCCGTCTTCTTTATTTCTTTTAACAAGATTGAGATGAATTATTATGACCCAGCTAGCTACATCTTTTCCTTTTTCTTTTTTGAGTCAATTAAATGCGGGTACATGAGAAGAGTTGTTGGTGACATGCATGCAAATGTATCAGAAGGTGCATGCATAATTAAAACCAAACAATGGGGGGCTACCCTCAACTTGGAAACTCGGAAATATGTCAAATTAATCTCGCAACTGTTATAAAAATAATCAGAGTATGAAAAGTACCATTGAATATTGGGAGTGGAATTGTATTTGTTCTTTTGGTTTTTACACTGATAGAATTTCCTCTCAGATAGAACTTTCTAACTCTCAAATTTCTTACTCTCTTTTCTTCTCTCAATTAAGTGTGTTATCACTTCTCGTTAAGCCTTTAAATAGGCTGAAGCACCCGTGATGTACGGTTGGTTACAAGGGAAGGTGGCAAACAAATTCCTTCATTCTTTTCTTCTTTTCTTTATTTGGGCTCCACCACGTTCTTTATAACACTCCCCCTTGAAGACCACAGGTCCCTTGATTGATTGCCTCATTAAAACCTTGCTTGGAAAAACCCAGTGGGAAAAAAAAAAAACATTTATCTACTTATCCATCACCATCGATCATTCATCGTTATCATCATCTAAATCTAAATCTAAATCCTGATGAAAAGTTACAAACAAAAATAATTTGCCGTTTTCTTTATTTCTTTTAACAAGATTGAGATGAATTATTATGACCTAGCTAGCTACATCTTTTCCTTTTTCTTTTTTGAGTCAATTAAATGCGGGCACATGAGAAGAGTTGTTGGTGACATGCATGCAAATGTATCAGAAGGTGCATGCATAATTAAAACCAAACAATGGGGGGCTACCCTCAACTTGGAAACTCGGAAATATGTCAAATTAATCTCGCAACTGTTATAAAAATAATCAGAGTATGAAAAGTACCATTGAATATTGGGAGTGGAATTGTATTTGTTCTTTTGGTTTTTACACTGATAGAATTTCCTCTCAGATAGAACTTTCTAACTCTCAAATTTCTTACTCTCTTTTCTTCTCTCAATTAAGTGTGTTATCACTTCTCGTTAAGCCTTTAAATAGGCTGAAGCACCCGTGATGTACGGTTGGTTACAAGGGAAGGTGGCAAACAAATTCCTTCATTCTTTTCTTCTTTTCTTTATTTGGGCTCCACCACGTTCTTTATAACACTCCCCCTTGAAGACCACAGGTCCCTTGATTGATTGCCTCATTAAAACCTTGCTTGGAAAAACCCAGTGGGAAAAAAAAAAAACCCTAAGCGGAGGGACAAGAGTACAACTTCATTTGGGATATAAGAACAATGTTAAATGCGCTCATGTTGCCTCATTGAAACCTTTCTAGCAAAAACCCAATGAGAAAAATCCTAGTAGAAGGAAAGAGAGTACAACGCGCATATGTCATGTGTTCAAGGTCGATTGCTTGCAGAGTTGACGTAATCTAATACCATGCACTAGCTTTTGGAATGTACATTTTGGCAAAGATTTGGTGAAGAGATCTGCCTGGTTATTACTTGAACGGATTTGTCTGAATTTAATTTCTTACTCTTTTGAAGCTCATTTGTGTAGAAAAACTTTGGTGATATGTGCTTGGTCCCATCACCCTTTATGTATCCTCATGTGTTCTGAGCAATACAAGCTGCATTGTCCTCATTCAGGATGGTTGGAGTGTCTGTTGTTGAGGGTAGGGCACATGTGCTTCAGATGTGATGGATCACCAACCTTAACCAAACACATTCACGACTGGTTTCATGGAGGGCAAGCATTTATGAGTGATTGAAAGATGTGGCTACCAACATTTGTTTCGTTGAGTGACATGAGATTGCAGTTCCTCCACATGTAAACACATACCCAGTTTGTGAGCGTCCTTAATGTGGATTAGAGAGGCATCATGCATCAACATATCCAACAATACTCGGGGCATTGGTCGATTCACTGGAATAGAATAAGCCCATGTCTGTTATCCCACGAAGATATCGTAGAATATGTTTGATGCTGGTCCAATGTCGGCTTGTTGGAGCAGAGCTGTATCTTGCTAACAAATTTACTGAAAATGCTATGTTTGGTATGGTACATTGTGGTAAGTACAATAAAACACCTATTGTACTAAGGTATGGTACTTTTGGACCAAGGACCATTTCATCATCCTCGTTTGGATGATATAGATCTTTCTTAGTGTCAAGCGACCAAACGACCATTGGAGTGCTAAGTAAATGAGCCTTATCCTTGCCAAACCACTTCAATACTTTTTCAGTATAAGTTGATTGATGCACCAAAATCCCACTAGCACTGTGCTCAATCTGTAAGCCGAGACAATATTTTGTCTTTCCAAGGTCTTTTATCTCAAATTCGCGTTTGACATAATTAGCCGTCTTTTGAAGCTCTTCAGGAGTTCCAATTAGATTCATGTCGTTGACATATACTGCCACTATCGTAAATTCATACTTTGATTTCTTAATAAACACACATGTGTAAATAAGATCATTTGTGTATCATTCCTTAAGTAAATACTTACTGAGACGATTGTACCACATTCGCTTATATTGTTTTAGCCCATACAATAATCGTCTCAATTTAATTGAGAACATGCCTCGTGGTTTATTCCTAGTTGCTTCAGGCAGCTTAAGTCCTTCTGGGACCTTCATGTATATATCTGTATCCAATTCTCCATACATATATGCGGTAATGACATCCATAAGTCTCATTTCAAGTTTTTCTGAAACCGCCAAACTTATTAAGTAACGGAATGTAGTTACATCCATCAGTGGAGAGTATATTTCCTCATAATCAATTCCAGGCATTTGTGAAAAACCTTGTGCAACGTGTCGCGCTTTATACCTTGAGATCTCACTTTTCTCATTGCGCTTTCTTGTAAATACCCACTTGTAACCTACAGGGTTTACATTGGGTGAAGTTGGAACAATAGGTCCAAAAACATGCATTTTTCCCAAAGAATTTAATTCTGCCTGGGTTGCATCTTTCCACTTAGGCCAATTTTGTCTCTGTGTGCATTTATCAATAGAGCACGGCTCAATATCATCATCTTTTATGATCTCAGTAGCCACTGAGAATGCAAATATATCATTAATGATCATCTCATTTCTATTCCACAATTCATTAGTGGATGTATAATTTATGGAGATTTCTTCATTTTCAAGTATTGCTGCCACTTCGGGGGCATTTGTCTCACCACAGACATTTTCCTTTTCAGGAAGTACATGTGCCTCTTCGGGGGCATTTGAATTATGAATTGTGAGCTCTCTATTTATTTCACTTGGATTCATTTTGGCAATCGACTTCCTCTTTTGAGGGACTGAATCCTTTAAGCCTAGTGGTCTGCCACGCTTCAAGCGTGCAACAAATGAATCATTTGATGGCACATTGTTTTGTCGATTATGGACATCAATCCTTACATGTGCATTTGCAGCTAAGATATGTGATTTTGTCACTTTTGTTGCATCATTAAATGCATTTGGCATTTGATTGGCAATACTTTAAAGATCGAGATTAGATAAAGTGGGTATGTCTCACGATAATTCACGTTGTTCTTCATAAACGAGTTTGCCTTGTTGTTCTTTAGGAACAAGTTTTTCTCCCCCTAATGGTAGAAAAATTGTCTCATCAAAATGACAATTCGCAAATCGTGCGATAAAGATATCACATGTTAGGAGCTCCAGATATCGAATGATAGATGGTGAATCAAAGCCAACATAAATTCTCAATCTGCATTGATGACCCATCTTAGTACGTTGCGGTGGTGCAATTGGCACATAAACCGCACAACCAAAAACTCTTAAATGTGAAATGTTTAGTTAATTTCCCAACACGAGTTGTATTGGAGAGGAGAATATTGATTGTTGGCAATGGGCCTCAACCGCACAAGTGATGCTGCATGTAAAATGGCATGTCCCTCGGCAGAAACTAGCAACTTTGTCTTTATTAGCAAAGTGCGAGCTATCAATTGAAAACGCATAATCAAAGCTTCTGCCAAACCATTTTGAGTATGAACATGAGGAACAAGATGTTCAATGTCAATGCCTAGTGACATGCAGTAGTCATCAAAAGTCTTAGATATAAATTCATCAGCATTATTGAGTCGGATTGACTTAATGGGATAATCTAGGAATTGGGCTCGTAATTTAATTATCTGAGCCAAGAGCCTAGCAAATGTCATATTCCGAGTAGACAAAAGGCAAAAATGTGACCATCGGGTAGATGCATCAACCAAGACTATAAAATAACGAAATGGTTCACAAGGAGGATGAATAGGCCCACAAATGTCCCATTGAATTCTCTGTAAAAATGATGGGGATTCAACATCAACCTTTGGTTAAGATGGTTTGATCACCAACTTCCCTTGTGAACAAGCCTAGCAAAAGCTATCACTTGACAACATAATGCGTTTTGTCAACAAGGGATGTCCTTTAGAATTAGTAATGATCCTACGCATCATGGTGGATCTAGGATGACCCAACTGGTCATGCCAAAGCTTAAAAGTATTTGAGTCAATTAACTTTTGGTTCATGACATTATGTGCCTCAGTTGTATAGTACAACCCTGATGAAAGCACACAAAGTGTCTCCGGTATACACTTCTAGGTATCACTGGAGGTAATGCAAAAACATTCTACATTTTCCTCATTTTTTGTTTCAACGTGGTAGCCATTCAAACATATATCTTTAAAACTCAACAGATTCCTTCTAGAGTTAGATGAATATAAAGCATCTTGAATGGACATTATTGTTCCATTTGGTAACATAACTTGGGTTGTTCCTGAGCCTTCAATTAGATCTGCAAGACTTGATATGGTTATTACCTTTGCTTTTGTAAGCATCAAGTTTGAGAAATACTTTCGATCTCGAAGGATAGTATGAGTAGACGCACTGCCTGCGAGACAAATATCTTTACTAGAGTTCTTGTTTTGGGAGCATCCACAATTTATATTTATGCCTTCAAATAAATAAAATAAGATGAATCAATAAACAATTATTCAATGTAAAGGAAAAACACTGCCACTTTTATTGAATTGAAATGAGAATTAAAAATAGTACTTCAAATAATAGAAATGGTACATAAAGGGATTTAGTCTAATTCAGACTCATAAACTTCATTCCCTCTTTTAATAATAAAATCAGAAACATCCATATACGTCATGTCTAACTGACGCGATATTTCCAATGGGTCATGTGTGGCTGGTGGATCTGGTATATCCATCGAATCAACATGATCAATATAATTTGTCCCTATTTTCTTATTCTTAAGTGAAGATTGATAAAGATTCGCCAAATGCTTCGGCGTGCGACATATACGCGCCTAATGTCCCTTTACGCCACATCTGTGACAAGTGCCTTCAACATTTTTATACACATGGCTTGTCTGAGCTTTCCCCTTATTCTGAGATGCATTTTTTTTTCGCTCGTGGATGAATTGCTCCTTGGACCCAAGCCATATGAATGGGCACCACGATCTTTTCTATTCCCTTGCCAGCGTCCATGCCTGCCTCCTCTCCCACGTCTATGGGTACTGCCACGAGAAGAGATGGCATTCACTTCCTGAGATGCAGCATTCACTTTAGGGAATGGTGCTGAGCCTGTTGGGCGAGATTTGTGATTTTTTAATAAAAGCTCATTGTTCTGCTCAACCAATAAAAGGCAGGATACCAATTCTGAGTACTTCGTAAAACCACTATACCTACATTGCTGCTACAGGAGCACAGTTGAGGCATGAAATGTACTGAGAGTTTTTTCAAGCATATCCTTTTCAGAGATATTTTCACCACATAACTTCATTAGGGAGGTGATTCTGTGCATTGCCGATTTGTACTCGGACACTGACTTGAAATCAACTAAAGTGTGTCCACTCATATTTGGCTCTCGGGAGGATCACCGTCTTTTGGTGATTGTACCTTTCCCATAAAGCTTTCCACAAAACTAGTGGATCATCAACCGCCACATATTCGCTTTTCAGCGCTTCATGAATGTGACGGCGAAGAAAAATCATGGCCTTTGCATTTTCTTCTGGGGATGTATCACTTCCATCTACAATGGTTTTTCCAAGGCTATTGGAAAATACTTGTGCATTCCAAAAGCTCATGCATGGTATCAGATTATGTCAACTCTACAAGCAATCGAATTGAAGCATGCAAAATCAGGGGGAGCATTCGAGAGTCCTTTAACACAGGGCATATGCGCATTGTACTCTTTTTCCTTCGACTAGGCAACATGAGCGCATTTAACATTGTTCTTATATCCCAAATGAAGTTGTACTATTTTCCCTTCGCTTAGGTTTTTTTCCTACTGGGTTTTTCCAAGCAAGGTTTTAATGAGCCAACCAATCAAGGGACGTGTGGTCTCCAAGGAGGAGTGTTGTAAAGAACGTGGTGGAGCCCATATAAAGAAAAGAATAAAAGAAGAAAAGACTGAAGGAATTTGTCTGCCACCTTCCCTTGTAACCAACCGCAAATCATGGGCGCTTCAGCCTATTTAAAGGCTTCATCTCTTGATTACTAGGAAGAGAGAAGAAACGAGAAGTGATAACACACTCAACTAAGAGAAGAACAGAGAATGAGAAATCTGAGAGTTAGAGTTCTATCTGAGAGGAAATTCCATCAGTGTAAAAACCACAAGAGCAAATACAATTCCACTCCCAATATTCAGTGGTACTTTTCATACTATGATTATTTTTATAACATTTATAATAATATTAGGGCTCGTTTTGGGGTGATTATGGGAGGGCGAGAAGTGATTATTGGCCTTTCTAGAATCACTCTCAAACGAGCCCTTAGTATAAAATATAAAATCAAACAGCAGTTGCCAACACAACACAAACAATCAAGTTGGATTTCTCCTAACAGGGCAACACCAAATAAAGATGAGATGCTTCTTGGCTTGGCGGCCCAAGTCAGGTATTTCCAAGTAACATGAACTTTACAAATAAGCTATTAGGCTAAGACATAAGTCTAACATACCATTTGATTGAAACTATGGCACCTCAATCTTCAAAGCCTCTGAACCAGTCGCTTATAGTTCTTGAGAGGACTCTAACGTCATTTAGAGAAAGAGTCTTGAGACTCTGAGCAATAGCATCTGCTGGAGTGTACACGTTCCCTACGTGCCACTTTGGCTCCTGATCAGGCCGAATAAAAGAGAAGATGAGGCTATTGAGATAATAATTATAAAAGTCAGAGCTTCTAAATCAGACGAATGAGCACAGAGGATATGCAGAACTCAAAATTGTTTGGAGTTCAGTTCACCTGTATGCATGGTGTGATATGGTTACCACTTATTTCGACCTTTTCTAGTGTCCCGCCAATAGATTCCACACGAGGCTTCAATGTCTCTTCAAGAGTATCTGTCTCATCAATTGCGTCGAAATTGAACTTCACCTGAAATGCAAACAATATTTAAGCCAGAGAATAAAATCATTGTCACCCATTTCATGATGATTCAAAATAACGGGACACCATGCATACCAGTAGTGTGTGTTTGACATTGTACGAGCTTTTAAAGAAAACACGATTTTCAGAGGGTGTTGGCTTAAATTCCGATATCCCTTGCGTTACCTGACAGAAATATTATGAATTTGTTTAGAATAACTCCACAGAATTACTCTCCAATATTAAGAACTGAAAGCATAAGGGAATGACTTCCGCCAAGCCAACAAGATACCTCATTTAGCACTGAAGGTAGCTGATCAACAAATTTAGTCAGCGAACTTAAAGTTTCCTGATTGTCCGGTAGCATTGCTCCGGCTGCATCAACCAGTGCCTTCCATGCATCTCCTACATACAGGAAGTGGTGAAAAGTGGGAGTATCAGAAAGTGCGAGCATGCTGCGCATGACATGGTATACCACTCAATTCAGTAACTCAGTTTAAGGGAGTTCAATCTTCAATGGATGTAACTATGGAGTTAGGTAAACATGATGATCTATGGCTTACCACAGGGTATACCATTGTAGAATAACTAGGATTCTGTACTTACTCTCATGAACCAATACATCATAAACATAAAAGTAAAGAAGCAACACTATATTTGGCTCTGACATGCAAAGAAAGTGGATGAATAAGGTAGGTACCTAAAATTCTTTTCATTTGGCACATCTTCAATGCAACCAAATGGAATACAACGATAACAAATGGCAGCAAGTTAAATTCTCTAAGAAAATATCACACTTAAGAAATCCACGGAGGGGAGGGGAAAGCATAATAAGTAAGCCAATATGCAATCCTTATAGAAAAACTAGAGGGAAGAAAAACGGAAATCTAATACTAAATAAGGTCCAAGCAAGTCAGGAAGCTACCTGAGGCAGTCCTAGCCATTGATGAAACTGGAGAGGCTTCTACAATAGGCACCATCTGATTAACTAAAGGACCTAGCTGCAGAACAGTAATATAAACTTTAGAACACCATAACCCAAATTCTAATACATGATATGAAGCAGAGGATAAATATCAATTACCTGCTCAAAGTAAGGCACAGCCTCTGTCGCTGGTCTATTGTTGTATGCGATTATGGCATTGGCCTTTTATCAGAGGGAGACAATATTGCTTGTCAAACTAAGTGAATTTATCAGATTACTTAATATGAAACAACACTACACAATCTACTTATCAAAAGGGCTTGTAAAACAGAACAAACCTTTGGGACTTTATCAGAGAAATAGCTCCCTGCAAGTACTTGAAGAAGCGCGCCATTACTACAAACAAATTATTAAAAACACACAGATATGTAAATCAGTGCATCCAATGCAGCCATGATAATGAACTTTGAAGCCACTCAACTCAATTACCTATGGCCAACAGAAAACACAGGCAGTTGAGCAAGTTGGGCAGGTGAAAGATTGGCATTGGGCAATCCAAAAGCTAAGATGGTGTCCAAGCAGGCATTGAACCTCTCATACACTTGTGCAGCAGCTTGGACATGATCAAAGGTCACATTGTATGGCACTGATATAACAAGAAACCCATCTTTCGCCAATAGCTCAGTTAAGTAGCTGCAACAACCAATTCACATGAATTTCAGGGACCCAATAATAAATAATAAATAATTATACAAATAGAAAACAAAAATTGGGACCTGTAAGTAAGTTCAGGAACAGCTCCAATGAAGGCACCACCCAAGAATTTGATGATGGCGCGAGGCTTCTTGCCAGTGGGTGGAGGTACCACCAAACAAGAATCGCTCCAAGTGGAGATTAATCTGTCAGCGGAGCTGCCTGGACCCACATAGCCATTGACAGCAGTCTTCTTGGTAGAAGATGAGGCTGAGCCACCTGCGACCACTACTGCTCTTAATCTGCTCCTCCGACGGCACCCCAAGAAGGAACCATAGCCGTTGATTTGGGTTTGGGCATGATGAGGGATATGATCACATCCGCTTCCCAATTTGGTGGCAAGGCCGGAGGAGGACGATGAGGAAGTGGAAGAGAAACAAGTGGCCATTTCCATGTCAAACGCAAATGGGTTTTTGCTTTGCTGCTACTAATACATAGTTTACATACATGATGAGTGGTGCAATCTGTATTTTCTGTTCAAAGCTTGCGCCACGATTTCACAAAAAGATTTGGCCTTTACCTCCGATGGCATTTTTTTAAACGGCCACAATGTTTTACATTATTTGGGCTCGTTGTATTAGTTAGGCCCATTTTCTAACTTCAAACTTGAAGCCCAAAAGAAAGAGTCGATTAAAAAGTCCATATTCGATGGATTTAACCTCTGAACCGCGGGAAATTTGAGTTTTGAATTTTATTCTTAGTCCATGAATGTAGAGCCCAATCTATTTTATCTACAGCTCCACTACATGTCTTCAGTCTGTGATGCAGTTTATCTGCAAGACATGATCGATCTGAATAACTCAAAATTTCTATGGCATTGAAAAGGTTCAGCTACCCATCTAAAACCAAAACAAACCCTGAACCTGAAGAAATGATAAAAGCTCAGCGAAGAGCTTCACTTTCCATCACAGATGATAAAAATGTGCCTCATTATATAAAAGTTTCAATATTTCTAAAATCTGCTTCCCAATGAAGATGTGCCTGATTATACAAGAAAAGCAACCACATTTGCTCTATTATTTGTCTGAAATTACAACAACCACCATGCTTAATGTGATGGGATGAATAAAAATTTCTAGCTTAGAGTAGAGCTGCAAATTGACAAATTGTTGAAGCAAATATCATCATCATCATCATCATCTAAACATACATGTATTCACCACCTCGAACGGCATTTGCAGCCCCCTTTCTGTCTTCTTCAGCCTCCCTCTCCCTCTCCTTCCAGCTTTCATACGCATGATCATCAGTCTGCAACTCATGCCGGCATATCGGACACGAATTGTGCTCGTCCTGCCGCAACAAAAACAACCCAACAACCACGTCGGATGGTTACTTCAAATTTGGAATTCAATGCAAGCAAATGAGACATGTTTAAAGAACAAAAATTTCGAAATTTACCAGCCATGGCTTTAGGCATGGAGGGTGAAATGTGTGTTTGCAAGGCAACTCCTGCATCTTGTCATTCACAACCAAGTTCTCTTTACAAATGGCGCACTCGGCCTCCTCTCCGAGCTTCTTCAGCACCTCCTCTGTGATCGTAATCACCGGAAGATTCGCCACCACCCGTTTGCTCGCCGGCGGGACTCTCGGGGCCGCCCTCACATCATCCATTATCCCCGGCGGAAAAACGCTGTCGAGGTTGTCGATGAGGGACTGAAGCAAATTCACCGCGCTTTCCGAGTTGTTGCTGTCGTCGTTTCCGGGTTCCGGCCGACCCGGCACGGAAGACGACCCCGCCGCCAAGGCGGCCGTCATGAGATTCGACTGTACCAGCCACTGCGGCTGTGGCGGCTCCCGATCCACCGTCAGATGCCCCTCAAACAAATACCCTACATAACAAAATCAAAAATCAAAATCGAATCAAACAAAATAAAATGAAAAAGGGTTTCTGCAAAATATCTCTAAGACCTTGATTTGGAGAAGACGAGGGCTGTGGAGGGTCGTTTTCCTGATGAACGACCTGCTGCGCCTCGGAGATGCAGGAGAGCAGGTGGGCCTTCTCGGCCGGTTCGGAAACGAGGGATTGGGCTAGCCGGAATAGGGCGAGTCCGGCGGCCCAGAAACCCGGCGAGGTGTACCGGGTCTTCAAGACAGTGGCGACTCGGCAAACGACGCCGTAATACAATTTCCGGAGGGAAGGGGAAGCGGAGGCGTAGTGGTCGCGAAGCAGCGAATTGAGGGAGGCGACGGCGTCTTCGAACTTCTGCTTCTTCGACACGTCTTTGTGAAGCTCCTCCAATTGCTGCTCCAATCGCTTTTCGTCTTTAGATTTAAACTCCATTTTCGCCTTCGATTTGAATTGAATCGGATCTCTCTTCTGTGCCTTCGTCCTCTTTTATTTCTCTGGTTTGGCTTGGCGAGGAGGTCATCACCCTTCAACGAAGGCACGAGAAGAATCGTCTGCGCGCCGTCCCATGATTGTCTCTAACTATCTCCAATTATCTCTCTCCACGTCACTGTATTATATTCGCTTTGTGTTTTGTTTGTTAACGACAGCATTTTTAGCGTCGTTTTGTTTACCTGTTGTAATACAAGCTGACGTGTAACGTGTAATTAATTATGTAGGATTTTGCTAAGTGGAGTCGCATAGATGTTGGTGATTTCTGTCCATTGATTAAATGTAGGCTTTGGATCTGATTTATGGTAAAAAATCGTACCGGTGTCGTAACACACCTCAATAGCACAAGAGAACACATCTTTGTTCATGTTTATGAAGAAGAGAGAAAATTCACTAGAACATGAAGAGATACAAAGCCAATAAATGGAAGTCTTCTATTCAAGTGTGCTACAAGTAGCCATCAATCTAAAACACTTTTCATTGTATAAAAAAATCATGCCAATTTCCATTTGGCTAAATTGCCTAAACAATGCATACAGAACAATGGAATGTAAGACAGATGCTAAAAGAATAAGAAGAAAAGAAAAAGAAAAAAAGAAAAATCCAAAGGCAGGCATGAACTCCAAATCATACAGAAGCCTCAATCCTTGGCTCAAATGAGAAGGCAGACATGAACTTTATGGCTTCACCATCCATAAAACATTTGGGCAATTCAACCCATTCATTGGCAGCCAAGTCACACAGAACACAACTAGAAATCTCAGCAGAGCTTAAGCAGATCAGTATCTGGTCACCAGCCCCAACACAGTTTATATCCACATTCTTGCCATACCACTCATGGGACATTGCTGGAGGCATTGCTGCAATTTGGTGCCAAGATCGAACATCCTCATCATAACACCACACCCTGAGGCTAGCGCTTTCAAAAAATTCTGACAGCAGAACCACTAACATCCTGCCTCCACACTCCACTAAATCAATGGAGTACTCGAAGAAGACGGGCAAAAGCCTGGGGTACTCAGAGAAGCACTTGGTGGCCAGATTGCAAGCCACAACTGACCCTGATGAGCTTAGGAAATGGACTATCTCTTCGCCATCTTTACTAGTAGTGATCACTGATGAGTATTGCTTAGATGGGCTTCTTTGCATGTTGGTTGCCACTACATTCCCAGCCTTGCTAAGGAAGTAAACAGCAGCATTGTCCTCACTTGATTCAGATTCTGCAGAATCATCATCAAACTTCTTACACAAGGCGGTCTCTTCTTCCCAGGAACCGGTGTCTGAGTTATACACTCTGAATGACAGCTTTGGAAATTCACCAAAGACAACAACAAGCTTGTAAGAGGACTGTTCAAACTTGGGACATGAATGCATCACAATGGCATGGAAGGTGAGATTTTGTAGGGATGGATCCAGCGGAGGGTGTTCATTGCAAGACCCTGTCACGGGGTTGCACACAATGAAGTTGCCATATGAATTTCGGAAACAGATCAAGCCACCAGAGGCTGAAACAGGCATGGAATTGCAGTTGGAGTTTTTCTGGAGGAGAGGTGGATGATCAAGTTTTTTCCAGCTTCTTTCAGTGGAGTCAAAGACTATTGATCGATTGAGAAGGGGATCGACCATGAAAAACCATGGAGCCCGTGAAGGAATCTGAGAGCAGGCAAGCTTGAAACTAGGAGAAGATGCAACTGATTTCCATCTTTTGCACACCGAAGTAAGGCGGAAGAATGCAGAGGTTGGTAGCCTTGAGAGGACCCTTTCCAGGAGGTCTTCATTAAGCTCATCCATATAAAAGGTGCTTGAAATGCTATTATCTTCTTCTTGGGATTTTCTCTTCCGAGTCATCACAGAAGCCGGGCAATTTTGGTCCTCCATCAACTAGAAATTAAGGAGATGAACACAACTGCAAAAGATAAGGGATGATTGTGTTACTTGGGAAATTTATATCTGTGCTCATCATATAGAACCAGAGAAACAAAAGTAATGGGCTCATATCAAGTGCATACAGAATGTAACATGAAATGGGAATCTAGCACCCCCTATCCTTGCGTTCCTATTTCCCATCTGCTATTTAGATTATTGATAAAACCATTTGTATGGCAAAGGAGGACGCTGAAAAGCAACGTAATCTAGTAAATAAAGATTCCAACTTTAAAGAAAAATCAATATGCGGAGAGGATAGTCATCATAGTGTAGTAAAAAACAGTGAGAAGCAAGCAATAAGAAATGGGGATGAATTGAAATTGCTGAAGCAAATAGGGATTGAAAACACCCATGAGAAAATGCATATCTGGGTAGTCAAAAATACCAGAATTGAGGAATGTAAAACTTGTTAAGACAGAAATCAGACCAATGAGGATGACCTAAAGTTAAAGGAACAGCTAGTGAAGTTAAAATTTTCAGAGCCAGAAGATGAAATTGGAGAGAGAGTTGGTGTGTATGTCCACAAGTAAGTAACAGATCTCGACACAGAACAAGGGTTAGAGTAAAAGGAAACAAAATTGTTCCACAGACAAAAACACAATTATTCAAGAAAATTGAGTGAAACAAAACAAACACCAAATGAACAAGAAGAAGACAAAAGGAGAAGATGAACAGAGAAAGAGAATGTACCTGTTTCTTCTCCAGTGCTTGTGCTCCGTGAGTCTGAATGGAAGACAGTGTGACTGATGAGTAGCTGAGGCAGTGAGTGAGGTTGGTGGGTCTTTGGCCTTCTCTTTAAATTGGGTTTTGAGAAAGAAAGACAGAGGAAAAAAAAAAGTGAGAAAGCGAGCCAAGGAGGAAGGAAGGTGTGAAGCTTCCTGGGAAGCTTTTTTTGTAAGGGGGTTGACACTTTGTTAGATACCAAACACACACACACAAAAACACTAAAACACACGAGGGGTTGGTTTTTCTTTTCATCCCATATTTATAAAACAAAGAGTATATTGCTTTTCTATACAGGCATTGCTACAAAATACACAGTGTGAAAGTAAGTAGGGTGAGTGGTTGACTCTGCTCTCTCTCTGTCTCTCTCTCTCTCTCAGCTCTGGCTTTGGATACCAAAGCCCCAAACAAAACCTGTTGCACTTGAACACATTTAGTTTGGTATCTCCACTTTAAATAAGTCGTCTTTCTTTTTCAATTTTCTAACACAAAAAG